AACATAAAACGAGTTCCGCCAATTCCCAAGACAGGAGGCAAAACCACCAGGAAAGACATCAGAGTTATCCCAAGACAGGAGGCAAAACCACCAGGAAAGACAGCAGAGTTATCCTAAGACAGGAGGCAAAACCAACAGGAAAGACATCAGAGTTATACCAAGACAGGAGGCAAAACCACCAGGAAAGACATCAGAGTTATCCCAAGACACGAGGCAAAACCACCAGGAAAGACATCAGAGTTATCCCAAGACAGGAGGCAAAACCACCAGGAAAGACATCAGAGTTATCCCAAGACAGGAGGCAAAACCACCAGGAAAGACATCAGAGTTATCCCAAGGCAGGAGGCAAATTCACCAGGAAAGACATCAGAGTTATCCCAAGACAGGAGGCAAAACCACCAGGAAAGACATCAGAGCTATCCCAAGACAGGAGGCAAAACCACCAGGAAAGACATCAGAGCTATCCCAAGACAGGAGGCAAAACCACCAGGAAAGACATCAGAGTTATCCCAAGACAGGAAGCAAAACCATCAGGAAAGACATCAGAGCTATCCCAAGATAGGAGGCAAAACCACCAGGAAAGACATCAGAGTTATCCCAAGACAGGAGGCAAAACCACCAGGAAAGACATCAGAGTTATCCTAAGACAGGAAGCAAAACCACCAGGAAAGACATCAGAGTTATCCCAAGACAGGAGGCAAAACCACCAGGACTCAGGCGATAGGTCCCCACAAAGAGTGTTTGAGGACCTATCGTGGTAGTACCCCGGTTTTTTTCGTTTTTTTTGCCAACATATGTTGAAAAATTACATTTCTATCAAAATATATCGTGTCTAACCCTAAACCCTACATCCGTTAGAAAAAAGATGAAAAAATAAGAAACATATCTGCCAACAACGGGGGGTTCACGGTATGTAAATATTATACATCTAAAAATAATCAGAATGCATATATTGAAATTGTAAAATTGCGCCATCTATGTGGAGATGCGCCATCTATGTGGCATATTTTGGTTAGGTTGGTTTATGGATGTCAGGATGTGAGGGAGTTGCGCCATCTATGTGGCATATTTTGGCTATAGGTTAGTTGCGGATGTCGGGAGATGTGAGGGAGTTGCGCCATCTATGTGGCATATGTTGGTTAGGTTGGCTTATGGATGTCGGGAGATATGAGGGAGTTACGCCATCTATGTGGGCATTCCCAGCCTGATTTTGGCGAATGGGTGGGAGTTGCGCCATCTATGTCCCAAAAAGGCAGCTTGATGTTGAGAAAAAACCATATGGGGGAAAACAGCGCAGAAGATTGCAAAAAATGAGTCATTTTTAGGGATACATGGCGCAACTGACCTGTTTTGAATGGCAGTTGAGCCATCTATCCCCCGCATTTTGCATATGACATAGATGGCGCCACTCAAGATTCTGAGCGTCTACTTTGACATCAGAGTAGAACGTTTCAACAAAAAAAACAGGTCCCCCGAAATGATCAGTTTCTTTTTATATTGTATTAAAAAATGAGTTTTTCAAGCTCACCAAAGGGAACCCCCCACGACCGGTGTCGTAGAACTATGAAAACAAAAACTAGTTGCAATGAAAACCAATGGAATTGGGTGGTGTTCCCCAAAAAATTGATGAATATTTTCACTTGGGACCTATATTCTATGTATGTAATTCTTCAAGGAATTGGATCTCTTCCATGTATGAGGGTATATATCATATACGTAATTCCCTTTGGGGAGTAGCAACCCTGGATGTCTGAAGTTCCTAAACTAGAACGTTTCAACAAAAAAAACAGATCCCCCCGAAATGATCAGTTTCTTTTTATATTGTATAAAAAAATGAGTTTTTGAGGCTCACCGAAGGGTACCCCCCACGACCGGTGTCGTAGAACTATGAAAAAAAAACTAAAAAACTATTTTGCAGATAGAATGCCTCCCCGGAAACTACAGCAGATATAGATCAATGAAAAAAAACATAGAAGAAAAGGAAGGGTAAGGAGCAATATAGCAGAAAAGGAGGAGAAAAGGGAAGAGGATAAGGTCGGAAAAGAGACACGGGCACTCCAGGTTCCCTGCAGGTCAGAAACATCTGGCTACAGTGGTGAAAACAACAAATAAAATGCCTCCCCGGAAACTACAGCAGATATAGATCAATGAAAAAGACATAGAAGAAAAGGAAGGGTAAGGAACAATAGAAGAAAAACGCAGGCGAAAAGGGAAGAGGATAAGGTCGGAAAAGAAACAAGGGCACTCCAGGTTCCCTGCGGGTCAGAAACATATGGCTACAGTGGGGCAAACAACAGATAGAATGATATAGATCAACGAAAAAGACATAGCAGAAAAGGAAGGGTACGGAACAATATAGAAGAAAAGGATGAAAAAAGGGAAGGGGATAAGGTCGGAAAAGAGACAAGGGCACTCCAGGTTCCCTGCGGGTCAGAAAGATCTGGCTACAGTGGGGAAAACAACAGATAGAATGCCTCCCCGGAAACTACAACAGATATAGATCAATGAAAAAGACATACTCTCCCCTAAGAGTAGAAGGCTCAGAATCTTGAGTTGCGCCATCTATGTCACAAAAAAAAATGGGGGATAGATGGCTCAACTCCCTTTAAAACAGGTCAGTTGAGCCATCTATGTTCCCAAAAATGATTTTTTTTTTGCAATCTTCTGCGCTGGTTTCTCCCCATATTTTTTTCTCAACATCGAATCAAGCTGCTTTTTTGGGACATAGATGGCTCAACTCCCACTCATTCGCCAAAATCAGGCTGCGAATGCCCACATAGATGGCGCAACTCCCTCATATCTGGCCCGGACATGACCCAAAAACAGTGGGGCTCTTTTGGGCGTTGATTTGGCGTAAAAGAGCCCGTTTTTTTGGCCAAACATGGGCTCAACATAGGCTCAACATAGAAGGCTATGTTGGGCCACTTGGGGCTCTGTTGGCGGCTTTCGGGCCTAAAATTTCAACCCCAACGGAAGCATGGTTCCGTTGAGGTTGAATTTTGGGTCGGTTTTGGGCTTATGTTGGGCCATTTGGAGGCTACAAAAAACCCGCGTAAAATTTTATTGGTTTACGCGGTTTTTTTTGGGCGCATTTTGGAGCCTTCTTGGGCTTATATAATCTCCTCTGTTGGGCCATTTTAGGGCTATGTTGGGCTCTGTTGGCGGCTTTCGGGCCTAAAATTTCAACCCCAACCGAAGCATGGTTCGGTTGAGGTTGAATTTTGGGTCGGTTTTGGGCTTGTGTTGGGCCATTTGGAGGCTATGTTGGGCCTCTGTTGGGCCATTTTAGGGCTATGTTGGGCTCTGTTGGCGGCTTTCGAGCCGAAAATTTCAACCCCAACGGAAGCATGGCTCCGTTGAGGTTGAATTTTAGGTCCGTTTCGGCCTCAAAATAGGCTCAAAACGAGTTGCGCCATCTACCTTCTCATTTTAAAGTAGGGTGATTATTTTCAATTGGCGGAACTCGATTTATGTTCCAGCTAAAATAACGCCGTTTTCTTTCTCACCGCGCGGTGCCATCTTATGGGTATTTTGGTTTTGGAGTTGCGCCATCGGAACAATATAGAAGAAAAGGAGGAAAAAAGGGAAGAGGATAAGGTCGGAAAAGTGACAAGGGTACT